CGCGGCGCCTGGGGGTGGGTCGCCCTCTAGCGCGCGGAGGTGCAAAGAGCGGCCAGGGCCGGGCTCGGCGGCTCAGCCTAGGATCCCCGGCGCTTTGGGAGGCCGAGGCGAGCGGACGGCCTGAGTCCGCGGGTTCGAGACCAGCGCGGGCAAATTGGCGAACACATTAAAAAAAAATTGGCCGGGCGTCGTGGCGCGCGCCTGCAGTTCCGGCTACGCGGAAGGCTGGGACGGGAGGATCGCCGGGGCCCGGCGGGTCGATGCTGCGGTGGCCGTGAACGTGTCCCTGCACTCCATCCTGGGCGGCAGAGTGAGAACCCAACTCAGAAAGACCAAAAAGGGGCAAGGACGATTAAATTAGCCGACGCCTTTCTCAAAACCCATGCCTGGCTGAGAGCTTTTGATGGGAGAGGGGTGGGGAAAATACAAGCATAATTGCATTTCTTCCCATAAAAGATCTTACGTTTGCCAGAACATTGGTCTCATGGAGAGATTAATAGGATGGGGTGGAAGTGAAAGCTGTATGAGGAGTCCCAAACTCCTATTTCCTCCCGATTCAAGGAAGGTAGCGTAAGTCTGTGGCAATAGTGAGAAGTAGGTCGGATAGTAAGCAAAAAGTGTCCAAATGCTATTTTAAAAAAACCCCTTTGTGTCCACCAAGCTAAACAAGTGTGGGAGTTAATTTTGGCCTGCTGGGAGACTTTGTCTTTGTTTGCTGCCGCTTATGTCTAATATCCAAGCGGATAATAAATAAGTAAAATGATACAGACTTACGGCTAAAATGATAATGGGAGTCATTCTAATAATAATCTACATGAATTGAATAATGGCAAAATTCTCAACGTTTCACATAAATCAGTTTTCACAAACTCTATGATCTAGGAAATAATATGATCATTTCCATCCACCAATGAGGACACTGAGATCCGTGGAGATGTGATCTAACCTGCCCAATGTCACATAGCTGAGATGGACTTCGAGTCTTGGCAGCTGAATTTCAAAGCTCATACTTTTTTTTTTTGAGTCAGAGTTCACTCCATTGGATCTGTGAATGAGTTCGGAGGTTATTTTGTCAAATTTCCTCTATTCTTACAAAGGCAAAGTGAAATCCCTGCTGAGATGACAGGTTTGAACCACCCCCTCCTATTAATCTCTCCAGAGGTAACTAGACCTTTATATGCCATACATGGTTTTTAAAAATATATACAATTATGACACATTTCACATTTTGTTCTGCACCTTCCACCCCATCCTATTAATCTCTCCATGAGACCAATTTTCTGGCAAATGTAAGATCTTTTATGGGAAGAAACGCAATTATGTTTGTATTTTCCCCACCCTCACCCCTGCGCTCACAGTCACCGCAGCCTCGAACTGCTGAACTCAGGTCATCCTTCCGTCTCAGCCTTCCAGGTAGCTGGAACCACAGGCATGTGCTACAACCCCTGGCTAATTTTTTTTGATTTATCGTAGAGGCGAGGTTTCGCCATGTTGCTCAGGCTGGTCTTGAACCCCTGAGCTCAGGCAATCCTTTCGCCTCCGCCTCCCAGAGTGCTGAGATGACAGGTTTGAGCCACCACGCCCAGCAAAGCTCATACTTTTACTATGAAAGTGTACTTCCTCTCAGCCCAAACATTCCTTCCTCCTCACACTAAATTCAATCAATAACACCCACTTCTACCCCCTCAATCTACCAAACATTCTGGTCTTTCTCACTCTTCTTTCTGCCTGTGTCAGGCCTCATCCCCTCAAATCCAAGGAACGGCCACTGCATCCTAAATGGTTTCCCTGTCTCCAGTGTTAATTCTACTCTTACCAAG